ACCTACTAACATTAGTAATCTTTTCATTAAAGCTACTGAAAAGCATAATCACGATACGAGGTTCTCTTCTTTCGGCAATTTTTATATTAATCCATCGAGACTGAATCAAAGCCAGGGCTCTTTTGCTAGCTTCGGAGCTAAACTTTGGAACTCCATTTGCGATGCTCCTCGTCAACTCCCGAAGAGAGCTTTCAAAAAACTCTTTAAGGACATGTTATTTTCGCTCCTAGAGGCTGAGGATTACTATGTTGAATCGTCCCTTCTATTTCAAAAAATTACTAATTATAAACTGGCTTTAGAATTTATATTCTACATTGTAGTGTTACTATTTTCTTATGTTTAATGATGCAGTTGTATATACGAGTTTTAAGTGGCTGTCTTTTTCTGGCAATGTTATTAATTTATGTTTAAGCTTTCTTTGTACTCTATCACCACTGCTGTGCCTCTAATTCTCGCAAACCTCTACTAGCTCCTGCTGTTTGCGGGCGTGAACGGTCTTCATGAACATGAAAGTGTAAATTACATCAATAACAATTAGATTAATTACATTAATTAGATTTATTTGTAGTTTGTCATCTGTCATTTCCTATTAAGCTTTCTTCTTTGTAAGCTTCAATAAACTTCAAACTATTAGGCTTTCTTCTTAAACAACGTAGCCGCGTTTAATGGATCGAACTAACTTAATAAATTAAGATGCCCTGTCGATGAACCGTGGCTAAGGAACTGAATTTAAAATTCCCTTAGCAACAGAATTGTACATATATTAAGTTCCACCCAACTTGATTTCTCGAGATTTTTGATCTTAGAAGGTATAATTTTGGCTTAAAAGTCACAGAAATATCCAATTAAATATGTGTTTCAGCTGCCGTGAATTGAAAATAACTTCGATTATTCAGCTGGTAATGACAGCCAGCTTTATCGCCAGGAGTCAGTTGTCATCCGTCAGTTGGTGGGTCAAAAGAAAATCAAGTCGCTTTCAGTCTTTAAGTCAGACAGTTAATCACTCTGCTAGGCAGTCCTAAATTGCCGTAAACAGTGTTTTCTAAAATTTCTCTTGCATCCATTGCTTTTCACGAGGTATAACCTCGGTTGCACAACTATAAGGGCATTCATAAAATTTACCATCGTTTGAATTCTCGAGTTTTACAATTACTGATCATCCATTACAATTACCGATCATATATTACAGGATAATCCTCGATTCTAACAAATCCATATTCTTCGTTTTCACTTGACGTCACTTCCTCTGAGGTCAGGATTAAAAAACCGGAAGTCGGCCATGTTGGAAGATATACAAACACGCGAAGCGTAAGCTTGGCTGCACGTGTAGTCAGTCGTGAAGCTAAAACTTGTGATTTTCTTTATCACGCCAACTCCTTGTGCTGTTTTTAATTGTGGGTATCATAATACTCGAGACAAAGAGTATAGTTTCTTCAGAATACCCAAAATAATAACTCATCAGGGAGAGCAAACTAGAAAACTTTCCGCGGAGCGAAGACAATAGTGGATCAAAAATATCAAAAGAGACAGCAAAGATCTCACCGAAAAAAAGATTGATGGAACTCATGTTTGCAGTGCTCATTTCGTGTCAGGTAAAACATATGTAAAGGACGAAATGTTTTGCTCAGTTTTGCGGTACTATATAGCTTCATAACATTTGCAAATATTACCTTAGAAAAGCCATTCGCACTGGAAGATACAACAAATGTAGATTGGGTTCCGACTGTAAACATGGGCCACTCCTGCATCAAAGACCCTACAAAAGGCTTTTATCGAGAAAAACGAGCTAAAAAAAGAGCCCAGAACATGTTAAATAAACCTTCAACAGCTGCGCGCCGTGCCTCTGAAGCCTTGACGTCGACTGACAACTTACCTTTCAAAGATTCATCTTCCACCCCTGCCGAATCAGAGTTTACTCTCGTAGAATCGAACTCGATGTCCAGCGACTTAAATCAACCGACTTTTGAACATCTTTCAAGTCAAAACAATCCAGACACAGCTAAAAGATATATTAAGAACTATTGTGGGACCGCGTGACAACAACTAAGCGCGAGCGCGAAAACAGCGCGAGTGAAATTGACATTGCACAGAGATAGCATCCACAACTGTTTTTGTTTCAAGTGAATCCCATTCCCATTTTCTATTGTTTTCTTGGCAAAAAATCTCATGCATGTTTCCAACCTTGTTTGTAAACATGTTATTTCGACAAAGCGAAATGCCTTACGTG